CGTCAGTGCCTGTGTTGCCGGGTCCAGATAAAAGTTGTGCTATCCTGTGCACTTGGGACCCATGTTTAAAATAATGATACAAATAATAACTCAGAATCCTGTCCCACTCTCTCACTTTCACTAAGAACAGTGCAAGAGATGCTGTCTGAAGCTTTCAGATGGAAGCTTGTGCACCCCATGTGACGAGAGGTTAAAGGGAGGGCAGGGATGCGGCTGCTCTTCTGGCTCAGCTCCCAGCTCAGTGGCAGACCCCTCCTGCCTGTGGCCCAGCGCCAGCCACTGTCAGGGTACTGCATCCATGGCAGCGCCGGGAGGGCATCACAGGTCATGCTGTCCTGGGCAGGAGGAAGAGTTAATGCTCTGTGGAGGGAGGACTTCCCTCCCCCATTCAGGATCTGCAAGCCGAGTCCTGGCACCAAGCCACAGCTAAAGTCCTGACTCCGCGATTTCAGCCAGTTGACCCAACAGGCTGGAGAAGGGTGGCCGGTCTTCTGGTTTCTGGAAGGGAAGAAAGAGCTCTGTGAGTTCATTTTCCTTATGTGTCAGGGTAAACCTGAGGTGAACCGGTGTTCAATAGCAACCCTCTGCTGGTTCTGAGATGTGCTCCCAGGCATACCATGCTTGGGGCTTTAGGTTCTACATGGTATTAGTAGGTTTCAGACGCTGGAATCAGAAAGTCTGGTTTTGAATCCCCACTTTACCACTCATTACCAACCTCTTTGAATTTCAGTGTTCTCATCTATACAATGAGAAGAGCAATACTAACCTCTTAATGTTGTTTCAAGAAAAAAATAAGTCCCCAGGGAATACCAAAAATAGACTTTGGGGCCAAGGCATGGCTCCCCATCAGACTCGACCAGAAAATACTCCTGAAGGTCAACAAACAGACCTTGAACTATTTACAAGCCATTCTTTTTTTATTCTTATTGTTTTGTAGTGTTTTCTTTTGTTGCTTTGTTTTGCTCCATCTTGTTTTGCTGCATATTATTATCTAGGCAGGTCTATCTAGATAAGATAGACTGGATAAACAATCTGGAGGAGAAAACAATGGGACTGATGGTTCTGGGGAAACGTGGGAGAGGGGGAGGTAGAGGAAAGGAAGTGGTCTTAACCAACCCAGAGACAAGAGAACAACAAATGACCCAAAATCGGTGGTGAGGAGGGTATAAAAGGCCTGGTAAGGCTTGATCAAGGGCAATGTAACCAAGAGGAATTACTGAAACCCAACTGAAGGCTGAGCATGGGAGGGGGACAAAAGGAAAGTAAAAGGAAATAGAAGAAAGAACTAGGAGGTAAAGGGCATTTACAGAGGTCTAA